AAATTTGACAGGTAACGGCTGACAGCCACTCGCCGACGGAGGGACATTTTTTTCATTCGAGATTTTGCGCGCCTAGGACACAAGTGGAGACCCAAGATGGTGCGAGCCCGACACAAACAAGTGCGTGACGTCGACGTGTCGTCGAGTGACCTTTCCTGGCGGTCGGTGTGGCGTGAGCTGAGAGCCCAAGGCTGGACTAACAAGGGTCCGTCCAGCCGTGGCCTTGACGACAGATATCGCTACGTCCGTCCCGGATGCAACCCCGACGGAGTCGAAGGAGTCGACGTTTTCCTGGGAGAAAAAGCAGTGCTGGAGTATTATGCGAACGGTAAGGTACCTTAGTAATGTTATTATCAATTGGTAACTAACGTTACATGTTTGCGTACACAGAGCTACGTACTTGAGCGCGAACATCCAGTCTACCTACCCGTCATGATGCTGAGCTAGAGCGCGCTGCTCAAGTCGTTCGCGAAACCTACGGCCACCTTTTTGAAGGACAAGTGGTCGCAACGAAGCAGAGAGCGTGCCACAACCTTCGCAACCATCTCAAACGCTTTCACCGCCTCGAAGTGCACCTCCTAATGTCCCTGCAAGTGCCCCAACATCCCCGGGCGACGGTCTTCGCGCCCTACGAGGCGCTCATTGGCTGATTCAGAGAGTCCTATGGCGGCTACATCTCCGCCACACACGACACTGATTGCTTCGTCACCCCATGTCAGCGTTGGTAGTCCGGACGACTTCGGCGACGACCCCGAGTTTGAAGCCGAGGAGACTGTGGACGATGTGTCGGTGGAATCGGTCGAGAAAGGAAGCGTTGCCAGCCTGGTGCGTTTTATATTATGCTGCATCTTGTGCTGCATATAGTACTGTATCTTGTGGTGCATTTTCACTAATTTGTGTATGGTTCGTTGCTTTATATATGGTAGTGTTGGAGATGGAGCTGACGATGAAGATGAAGATGGAGGAGTGAGCAGTGAGCTACTTGTTGATAAAGACGACTCGCTCAATACGGTGTGTGATGGAGACGACGCTGCCGAGTATGCTGTCATGGAATCTGGTGAAAATGCTGCAAAAGACGATTTGGTTATGGGTGAAGACAGTGGAGACGATGACGAATGCGCTGATACGTACATTCCACCTGATGAAGACGAATCGGAAGCTTCTGAGACTGAGATTGCTGCTGAAGTTCTGTTCGCGGAGCGATTCCTATCTAGTTTTGGAGGAGGGGGCGCAGTGTTAGCTGGTAATCTCAAGAACGATGTTCTACGTGAAATGGCTGCGGCTGGTTGGGAAGATGTGGAGGGACCAGATACGTTTGGCTACATGAACACTCCGTACGAGCCTGTGGACAACACACGAAGCTACCCTGGGCTACGGCAAGGGTATTCGGGCCCCACAGCTGATGCACTGCGCAATGCTGACTCTCCGCTTGCGCTTTTCGTTTTCTTTCTACCAGTGGTGCTGTGGCAGCACATTGCGGTGTGCTCCAACGAGTATGGGCGTGAAATGGCACGCCTTCGTGTTGATGAAAGGTACAAACACTACCGTAGCAAGTGCCGGCTCAATCCTCAACTACCAAAGAAGACCAAGCGAGACATCAAGACAGAGCTAGAAGGTGCGAAACAGATACAACCTCACGAGCTTTGTCGCTTTATCGGCCTCCTAATTGCACGCACGAGTGCCCCCAACCGCGAAAAACTTGCAAACCATTGGAAAACTACTGATGAAGGCGGTATTCCACGTGGAGCGTTTGGATCCGTGCTGCGTCGCGATAGATTTATGGAGATTTCTTGAAACCTACATTTCAATCCAAACTCTGATCCAAGGGCGGTCACAGATAGAGCATGGAAGATTCGCAAAGTTGTGGAAGTTCTACAAAGGACATTTGAGCGAGGGTATGTGGCTCCAGCACACTTGCCTTTTGATGAAGCGATGCTTCCTAGCCGCTCGTAGCTCAACAAGATGCGTGTCTATATGAAAGACAAACCCCACAAGTGGGGCACGAAGCTCTTTATGTTGTGCAGTGCGGTGACCGCCTACTGCATCAGGTATATTTTTTTGGTTCTAAGTTTTTTCTTATGCTGAATAATGCAGACTAAAGCTGGATATTTTGCTATAAGTATGCTGCATTTATACAGGCTCGAGGTTTACTGCGGTAAGAAACAGCACTCCGGCTATGCACACAAGACGTATATGAAGTCAGGGCCTGCTGCAGTAGTCCGCAATCTTCTCGCTGTGTTTGGGCCAGATTCTCGGATGAATGGGATGAGACTTGTTGTAGTGAATCGGTTCTATACGTCGGTGGCATTGGCAATTCAATTGCTGCTCATGGGATTCTACTGTGTTGGGACTATTATGACGAGCCGGTTGGGCTATTGCAAAGGAGTCGTTGAAAAAAAGAAGTCTAGACCTGCTACTATTGCTCGCGGATCTTTCAAAGTTTCAAGATCAAAGTTAGTGCCAAACACGACTGCTGTTAGCTGGTGGGACGCGCGGCAGGTTCACTTTATGTTCACTGGCGGGAGTCTTGAGATGGATCGTGTTGCTCACCAATAATTCGCAGATAAAGTCGAAGTTCCTTGCCCACGCGACGAGAAGGACTACCTCTTCTTCGTGGGGGGCGTGGATGTCCACGACCAGTTACGTTTGCAGCTGGGACTCTATTCAGCGGTCCGTGCGGTTCAAAAAGTACTACAAGTCGCTGGTGTTATGATTAATTGATTTAGCAATTGTGAATGGCTACATAGTCCACAAAGCCTACTACAAGCAGAAGTCGTCTCGCCCATTGACGCATGTGAAGTACATGAAGAAACTGCATTTGCAGCTGTCGCAGCTGCACGCGTCCGACATGTATGAAGGCAACACGTTTGGTACACACGAACCCTCACAAGGCGCTTCCGTTCCAGGATCTGGAGGTCTGCAAACTACTCACGCTGTCCGCCAGCTTGATGAGTGGCGATATACGACGACGCAGCCGAAGCGCCGACCGTGCGCGTGCAAAGTATACTCGCTTCTCCGTGTTGCGGGCAAACGCGCGACAACAACATCGTTCTTTTGTCAAGAATGCAGCAGCACGGGGCCAATGTTCCTGTGTATGAAGCCGCGCCGACAGATACGTGGAGTAGCTATGACATGCTGGGATATCTGGCACCCAGAGTGGATGGACAGCAAGTTGGTTCCGGTCGACACTGGTAGAAATATCCGAGTGCGTCGAGCTGCAGACACGTCTACTGGAGCTCCGTCAACGCCTGGAAAGCCTGTCACGCCTTTCACACCACTGGATCCGGCTAGTAGAGGAAAGCGACGTAGGACAGACAGTTAGCTGGCAAACTGCATTGCTGTGCTTGGTGTTACTTAAAAAAAAAAAACTTTGAACAAGAATATATGCAGTCTAAAAAATCGGGATGAATGTGGTTCCCGCACAACGGTAATGTCTGGCTCCATCTGGAAACTGCTGCCCAAAACCCATCTGGACTCTTTTGTCAGCTGATCTTTTCACTCTGAATTTGAGCCTCGAGCTGCCAGCACCGCATCATCTGATGGCGTTACTTTCTGTGGGTGACCCCCCATCGGACACAATGACACTTTGTATGGGAGGTTTTCACCTCAAAATTTCTAAAAATGTAAACTCTACCAAATGCACAGACCGATGCGGATGGCTCGTATCTGTACAGCGTCTGTCTACTACCGGTCCTGTAATGCTGCATTATGCAGACTGTCCAGGTCAATTCAGCTCCCAATATGCACCTTATGGACACTTTAGTCTGGTCCATACCCATTCACGACTGACTTTACCCCGTTTCCCGCCAGTGGCCCAACCCTTTATTTACAAACATCAAATCATGGTAAGTTGCATATGCAATTTAGAAAAAGCAAAAATCGCTCCGGGTTGCAGGGGTTAATGTACTTTTTTTAATGAGCGCGGTTGAAAATGCGTAATGTATGGGAAGAAAAATTATGTCTTAACACTTTAAAAATAGTTTTTGTATGTAAAGGCCGTCACATATGAGACCGCGTCAATCAAAATATTACTTATGAACCTAAGTACGAATCGCGATTTAAGCACTCTAAACGAAAGCGGGGCGTCTCCTCTATCTTTTGAGCCCTTATAAGCTACATAATGCTTAAAACTGAACAAGTTGTGGTCGCTCACAAATATTATCATCATTTATGGGCCCTCGAAATGACGATACATTTAGGAGTGTTGTGAGCTCAATATTTTTTCAATTTTAAAAATTCAAGTGTTATTTTAAAGCTCTT